AAATTCTGAAGTTATTAAGTGCTTTTCTATTATCACATTGGAATTGAGTCATCTCTTTAGCCCTAGGCTTATGAGAAACTTAGCTAAGCATGAAAAAAGTCATACTTAACATGTTTAAAAAATTAAAATAGAAAACAAAAACTTTGAAAATAAAGAAAAGAAAGAACTTTATAAAACTAGAAACAAGAAGAATAGTGAAATCTGAGTTGTATGTTTAGGTTTACCCCAAGAGGGTATTTATAGCCTCTAAAACCCTAGAGATAAATATATATATTAAAAGAAAAATAATCCTAAAGATAATTCCAAATGTTTTTCAAATTCAAACTTTAAAATTAAAAATAAATCTCTTAAGATATCTCTGCCCGTCCACCTTCCAGAATGTGCTGACTAGATCTTTTAGAAAACTGCTGCTGACTGGACCTTCTAGAAACTTCCATGTCAGACTGTATTATACCCATAGTCGTGCCCATGTCTCAAGTCATGACCAAATAATAATAAAAATGCAGAATGTACCCTTTTTACTGCTAATTCTAAAAAGTAAGATCCTGCACGAAAATAAGCATAATACAACCAAATTAATAGTAATAAATACATAAGATCGAAGAATAGACAAGAAAATATTATCAATTTAGAACAATCATCAAACCTCTAGGTTTTGAGGCACCTGGTATGGAAGACAAAGTGTGTAGATTCAAAAAGCCTCTTTATGGCCTTATGCAAGATCCTACGAGAAATTTCACAAAACTATCCTTAGTTTTGGTTTTATTGTGAATGGTTCAGATGCATGTGTGTATTCAAGGATGTTCAATACTGATTCCATCATCATATGTTTACATGTTGATGACATGCTGATTTTCAGTACTAATATTGAGTGCATTAACATAACGAAAAGTTTCTTGTCCATTAAATTTGAGATGTCTAATTTTGGAGAAGTGGTTTAATCTTATGCGTTAAAGTCACAAAAATTGAAAAGGGGTTTTCTTTAAATCAAACATATTATATTGAGAAAGTGATGAAGAAATTTGACGGTTTTGATGTCATCCCTGTTCGAACTCCTTATGACACTAGCATACATCTCTTTAAAAATAAAGAAAATAGCGTTTCCCAAACTGAATATGCTAAAGTGTTTGGAAGCTTAAAGTTTTTATTAAACTATACCCGACCTGATATTGCATATGTTGTGAGCAAACTTAGTAAATATATTCATAATCCAAGTGATGAACATTGGATTGCTCTTAGACGCTTACTCAAGTATCTTAAGGGTAATGTGGGTTTGAAACTTAAGTTTGTTGGCTATCCTGCTGTTTTGGAAAGATATTGTGACGCAAATTAGGTTTTTGATATTGATTAGGTAAGCTCTACGACTGGGTATATTTTTACTTTAGGTGGAGCAGTGATCTCGTGGAAGTCTGCAAAGCAGACTTGTATTGCTTGTTCTACTATGTAGTCAGAGTTTATAGCTCTTGACTTAGCTTGGGCAAGAAGCCGAGTGGCTTAGAAATTTGTTAGTAGAAATTCTGTTGTGGAGAAGATCGACTCGTCCAATTTCTTTATTGTGTAATTCACAAGCTGCGATATATGTGGCTAAGAACCAAGCTTAAAATGGTAAGAAAAGACACATTCGCATAAGACATGAATCTGTTAGAAACTTAATAAAGAATGGAGTACTCTCTTTAGAGTATGTGTAGTCAGAAAGGAACCTAGCATATCCTCTTACCAAAGGGTTAAGTAGGAAGCTGGTCTTAGATTCGTCGAGGGGGGTGGGTTTAAAGCTCATTGGTTGAGGAATTCATGGTGGATACCTAACTTAGTTATCTAAGTTCAATGTGATCAAACAAAACCATGGAAAAACTCATAGTGTACATTCCTACCTACCTATCCCTATGATGAATAATGTATATGATATGAACTGATTCAACATCATAATCATTCTTGCATCTCCAACTTTTTATAAGATTCAATACATTCTTGCATCTTCAACCTTTCATAAAGTTTAAGAGGGAGTTTTCCTTGTCTTATCTTTTTCCTACTTTACATTCATTAAGATTATATTCATTTTCTATGCCTTATATGTCATTTTCTATTATATGGATATATTCATTTATATAAATTATATTTTTGGTTATAATGATAGTTTTACTTTCATTATAATATGAAATCTAAACTATTATTATAACCTATAGTCCACATCTTTATATTATATTCTTTATTATTTCATTTTTCACTTACTTATGTTATGCGTTCTTTGTGAATGAATATTCGGCCACATGAAAGGGAGCTGAAACAAGCTAGCAAACGAAGTCCAAAGCAATTGGAACTTATCTAAGACAACTCCAGGGAAGCTAAGGAACAATTTTAGGCAAAGTTGTCAGTTGCACTTTGAGTTCAGAGTTAGACTAAGATGAACTTTTGATCTAGCTAGGCTACTCAAATCAGTTGGAGAGCTTGTACATATATCATCCTTCATCAAGGGACTTCAATTTTATAAAAGTCACTTTTCTACAATTTGTGTCTTTTCGCGAAGAGGTTCCATTTTGGGACATACTTTTCACCAAGAGCTGCTAAATAATTCCTCAAGATATAAGTCATTTATAGCCAGCTCACTTCCAGCTCATTCACCCTAGAACATGACTTTTCATGAAAGGTTACATTCCAAACATTGTGTCATTTCATAAAGGTTGTTATCCATGACGAGTCACAATCAAAGGGGTGCACATTGGTGAAGAGATTTCAGCCAAAGAAGGCCTAAATCATAAAGAGACATGAGGGAGACCATCATGACCATTCGGCCAAGGACACATTCATCCATCCTAGCCGAATCAACACCTCCTTTTATGAAGAGTTAGCTGAACCAACTTGATGCCAAGGGACCTATGCATTCATCTAATTAATTATGTACTTTCATAAAGACTTATACATTGGCCTAAACATCACCTACCCATTTGGCCAAAGCCTTTCATTTCCTACAAATAGGAAAAACATTCATCATTTGTAATAATCTCACCACTTAATCAGAATATGTCTTTGTGAGTTTATCTCTCTTCCAAGTTATTTTTAGAACTATATCGATTAAGCAAGTATATTTTTATACTTGTGGCTTCACTTCTATTCACCTTGATACTTCAAATTCCTAGATTCATATATAGTGGGTTTAAGTCACTTCTACTACCTCTCAAGCAAGTTTATAAAGGTCGGGGTTGTGCTTTATAACATAGTTTATTCTTTGGCGAGTTTAAGATACTATCTACATCACCATCACCATTGCCGCCCATACTTCATCAACACCATTTTCCATTGAAGGCCACCATCATCAACAACATCTTCCATTGAAGGCCACCATCATCAATGACAACTATCTTCTGCAACCAACGCTCTCCTTATTTCATTTTATTTTCCATTTCATTATTATCTTATCTTATACTTTACTAATCTTTCTTTAAACCTTTCTTTACTTTAATTTGAAAGCATCACTTGTTGTCATTCGTAGATCGGGCACACAATAAGGTTATATATTCCCTTCATCCTTGAAGAGTGTGGACAGGCTTACATCAGTACATGCCCAGAGCTTAATTGCTTTTAATAAGTTCATAACCCAAGCTTTGGGTGGTCTTAGTGAGAAAGACTTGATGAATTTACCGAATTTGGCTAAATATCTATTTTTAATAAGTTCATAACCAAGAGTTGAGTGGGTAGTCCTAAATGTGAAGGACAATTGAACTTACCATAAGAAAAGTTGAGTTTAGTTAAAACTCTATATGAATTCAATCTAAGAGTTTGGGTTTTCCTAGTGACAAGGACGTTTTGAATTCACTGATTAAAGTGGTTGAATATTTATTTGTAATGATTTCTTATCCTAGAGTTTGGGTGGTTCATTTCAGATGAACTTAAAGAAATTCACCTTACCTATTGTGAGGTTGAGTTGTTTTAAAAGTTCTTAATTATTTCATGGTTTATGTTGAGATAAATATGATGAAATAACCTAAGTAAGAAGGACTAGACATCTTCTGTGGAAATCATTGGGTCATTTTTCTAGTACACTTACTAGAATTCTAAGGAAAGATGGCTATATATATATATATATATACATTTGTATATATACTTTGTAGACACAACGAGGACTTCGGTGAATAAAGGGGTTAGTTGTGTGTTATGAGTTCACCTTAATATTTGAATGTCCAAGACTAGTTTCACTTTTCTAAGAGAAGAATTACTCATCATCACTATATATTAGTTCAAGATACGTTCATTAGTGCTTAATCAATTATTCTCGCTATTGCTATTCTCGTGTTTTAACTTCAAATTTCTTGGTTTTACAAAAGAATTCTTTTGTATTAGTGGGGAATGTTGGAAACACAAAAAAATTCACATTAGGTATGAACCGTTTGGCTTGGTCCGATTCGATTCATATGTGTTTCTTTTTAGGAAAGATTCTTCTGGTAAAATATTAATCAGGATTTATTTTTTACCATTTATAGTTGTTACAAAATATTTATGGTCATCAAAATAATATTTATAACAATTAATTATTTTGTAACTGTTATTGGATCTTTTACCATTTTACCCTTATGTTGAGCCTATAAATGGATGTTATTTTGTAACTGTTATAGTTGTATAAATGGATTTTACCATATCATATGGCACTACAAGAGAAATTACTCTAATATTATAAGCAAATGGAATATGCTTTGAGACACTCTTTGGAACTTTTCCTGGAGTGTTATTTTGAGTTGAGAGAAGAGCAGTATCATTAGAGTCCACTCCATCTTTCGAGTGTACGAAATTTGGAGAGCCGTGCTAATCCCGGGTGGGCTATTCGTCAATTGGAGCGATTACACATCGGGGCAAATTCGCTTCTAAGACAGTGGTTAATACCATGACACGGTTATTTCTCTGATTGATTATTTTATTTAATATTTTCCAGTCAGTGCTAATGTCTCGTTTTGCAGCAGTCAAATTTTCCAACAAGCTTCGTCAGAATCAGAGTCTATATTTTCATTTTGGGTTCTGCTTTGAGACGAAGGTTCCGCTTCCGTACTAGGGTATAATGTTGGCTCAAGTAGCCCGGCTTCAAGATCCTCTATCTCTTTGTTCCCTGAATCAAATTGCAATGGGGAAAATGCAGAATAGTCACAATATCTACAAATGTAACATGCAATTAATTGTATTACAACAAACAAGTAATCAGTCAATCTGTGTGACAAAAATATTCTTTTTCATGTTCAAAGGAAAGGAACTTAAAGTTATATTCAATTAAAGGTTGCAGACACTGAGTAATTGGTACCACTATAAGAAGAAGGGAACATGCTTTTAACAAGATTAATCACCTAAAAGAGACGTATGAAATCAAAAGATAAAGATGGTGATCAATAACTATGGAGCTTAAAAACTCCCATTTCATCTGTTTTGGGACAGCAGGTTATATCAAGTGATTCACACTTTGTCAGATGTAAAGTAGTTATATGTGAGTATCGATTATCAGTTACATTTCTGCAAAAAGGCTAACATTAGAAGGATGGATTAGCAGTAAAATTATGTCTAAAAAAGTTCTGCTCACATACTATTTGGCAACTTTAGAACTTCATGAAAATTATGTGGTTTTTATTTCCATGCTTAGCCCTAAAAACATGCACATACCAGCATTTCTCTGAAGCTTGTCAGCTACAGGCTTCTGCTCTCTGGATTGTAACGTAGAGTGCTGTGTGTCGAAGAAAATATGTTACCTATTCCAGGTCGTTTAGATCTTATAGCTACACCATCTATACGTTCCCCGACGGTAACTGATTGGGTTGAATTACCATCTATTCAAGGAGAAACATTTAATATGTGGAATACATCAAGTTCCTTGATACTTGAAAAGAAAGAAAAATATTGCACCATTCAGCAGGATTTTGTGCTTTCATATTCAGCTCATCAAATAATGAGAGAGAGATTACAGAAAACTAAACTGAAGGACAAAAAAGATTACATTTCAAACAAAAGTGGTGTGCATCATCCCAATCAGATCTAAAGTCTAACGAAATATTCTATTATTTCAAATCAATCACAAACAGCCTAATCCTTTCCATAGTGATAAGATGCTAAATAATAAGATGGAAAGAGAGAGAAAGAGAGAGAGAGGTAAAACAACTGAGAAAACTAAAGAATGAAAGAAAGAAAATTACTTTTCCAAACAGAAATCAAGGTGCATTGTATCGATCCCCTCATAGACAGAGAATATGCTATTAGTTCAAAATCAAGCACAAACAGCTTTACAATAGTCACATGCCCAATCTAATGATTGTCACGAAGGTCAAGGAGTTTCATCTAGGAAAACTGACAAGAAGATGAGATGATAAAAGAGAAAGAAAAGTCCAACACTTAAAAGACATTGTAGCTTTCAATCCTCAGGTTCCTTAAAAATTCCAAGCAAGCAGATGAAGATCAAGCTAATCATCACTGAGAAATTTCCTTTTAATCTAACACAGTCCAACGCACAAGAAATAATATAAAAGGCACAACTCAAAACTCCAACGAATTCCAAATAAAAAAGAAAACCCTGGTGACAAAAAAATATTAGAAACAGAGGAAAACATCAACAAAAAGATTCCAGGGCAATCTGAAACTGTTTGCATAAAAATAAGAACTCCATACAAAGAAAAAAACAGTAAGCCAACAAGACAATCATGAAAGAAACAGCCATCACATAATTCCATCTTTTGTTGATAGGAAAGTTAACCTTAACTTTCTCAGTAGTTTCTTTTCCCTTATGAAATGCAAAAAAATGAAAAAATCCAATTTGTACCGGCTGTACATATATTTCGAGGACTTCGCTTGTTTTCATTCTTTTTTATGTCCTGAGGTCTTTGTTTACTTGCATTATGGCTCATCTTTTGAAGGATTGTTTCATCTTCATTGCAGCTTACATGCTGAAGACATTGTGCATCTTCATTATGGTTTAAATGTAGAGAACTATGCTTGTTCTCTTTGTGGCTTACCTTTGGAGGACTTTCAGTGTCTTCATTGTCACTTACTTCTCGAGGAGTTTCTGTGTTTTTATTCTCACTTATCCCTTGTTGAGGATCTTGTGCATCTTCATTATGGTTTATATGTCGAGGACTATGCATGTTCTCTTCTTGATTTCCCTTTTGAGGACTTTAAGTGGCTTCATTGTCACCGACCTTTAGAGGAGATTCAGTGTTCTCATTCTGGCTTATCCCTTGGGGCCTTTGCGTTCTTTCCATCTGGCTTATCTCGTGAGGACTTCCTGTATTTTCACTCAAGTTTTTCCCTTGGGAACTTTGAGTGTTATCACATTGGTTTCTCTCTTTTGGACTTTGTGTGTTCTCTCTCTGGCATATATCTTTTGGATCTTCTGTTGGTTCATTTTGCGTCCTTTGTTTGAAGAACTGAAAGATCTTAAAACAGCCACTTCCTTCAAGATTTTAAGAATTAGGTTTCAAGTTTATAATGCTCCAGGTAGGAATAATTTATAATTTGTCATTAAAATAAGGATAATTGATCCGAAACTCATACCAAGGAACTAAAAATTAAGATACTATCATGCATGAAAATAGCCATTGCATACATGTGAGGTTACTACTGTATCATGGTTTCTGAGATACTTAGATGATTATGCAACATAAGAAACACAATACCTATGGGAATAAAAAGGCTGAAGCTTGAAAAGCAGCCAAATGCTTCTTGCTCTTGTTCTCTACCATGATTTTGCTCACCAGGTGCCACTATTGGGCTAATATTTTGTGTACATCTCAGGTGTGGAACCACTACGACTATCATCCATGGAAGTAGGCTTTTTCCGATGCTTTGGTTTGTGGCGTATATCTGAAAATTTTGGCTTTCTTCTAACAAGGATATCCTTTCTTGTGATGCAAGAATTGCAATTTGGACAATACAAATCATGTGTACTTTGTTTCTCTAAAACCCTTTCAACATCTAACTCCATCAAATCCTCTTCAATTTCTCCAACCAAGTCAAAATTGGTATCTACTTTGGTCGCACTGTCAAAATGCTTGACGATTTTAATTGTTTCTTCATGTAACTGCCCAACTAATGCTGGGCTCAAACCAAAAAAGTATTGACCATCTACATTTTTCACCTGCTGATGATGGGTTCCCGAGCTCAGGATTTTTGGAATTTCATAAAATCTATTGATGGACTTGGTGCATTCAAACCAATCAGCAGATAAGCACTTCGTTATGAAACTTTGGGCTAGCTTTGTCTATATTATGGAACACTTCAACGTGAATAAAGATGTCCAGATAACATGTCACGATTATGTTAAATATCAAAAACTTGCACTTGATAATTGGAATAATAGAATATTAAAACACAGTTCACCATAGATGGACAATGAAATATCTACTAAACACACTAAAACCTCAAAAATATCTGATATTACCAGCACGATATAATTTAACATATAAACCGTAGTTAAACATTTGTTGTCTTACTCTGACAAAGAGATAACCCAGCATCAAGGAATTAAAGCAACTAGTCCACTTTTAAAGCTATTAGCGGTTTAGATGAACTAGAAAAGCAGCAAGTTATAATGAAACAAAACAGCTTGCCCCAAATAAGTACAATTATTTATTGACATGGTTCAGTTGTTGCAGTTTTACCAACAGCTGGTGCTACCATCCCTATAAAAAAATCTTGGTATATACTGACCATTAGTTCTAAAGTGAAAACAGTTTCCACTGGTTCAAAGTTTTGGTATCCACCACCATGTTCACATATCAGATAGAATTATGGACATGAAGAATGCAAGTACTTCGAATTTGGTGAGTTCAATTTCAATAGTGACATTACCATATCCCTTTAGTTATAAACAATGAATAACAATGGCATTCATGACCTTACCAGTAACCAATATAAGAGAGGATCACAAGGAGGAAATAAGCAAGAGAATAAACCATAAGCAAGAAATTCTAATTGTGAATAATGTAAGCTGCGTCAGTCCTATGTTGGAACAAAAGAAACGAAAACCTCGCCGTCCTCAACAAGTTTTAAATTAGATTAAAGCTCCAAGCTGCTAGTAATGTCACTGCAGCTAGCGTGGTGCCATATGTGCAGTGAGCAAAAAGCTCGAACGCTGAATAAGATAAAAATTCAAGACAGGGGAAGGAGAAGAAATTCACTGGGATCATACTGATGAACCATTGTTGACACAAAAGATTCAAAGAATAAGAAAACAATGTGAAAGTAGACTAAAATGTATTGATAATGTACCTTGAAATCTGTCAAAGTAAACGATGCTTTCATTTCCCTCCCCTTCTTTTTTGAAAACATCGTCCTTGTCATTCTCATCGATCACCTCTTCATTTCGACGAATGTCACACTATTGATTCATCTTCTTCATCTTCCTCTTCCTCTTCATGGATAGAATAATCGGATGTAGTTCCACTGGTAGGAGCCGCAACAGGGGAAGGCGTAAGCTCACCACAAGTAGTAACCGCGGCTCCGATCCCATTGATTGGATGCCTGGTTAATAGACCCAAGCCCACCTTTTCGTATTCATCTTCATCCTGATTTACCCACGAACTTCTTTTGGGTAACTTAGGCTCAAGTTGTTGTTCCATGGGGTTATCTCTCTCACTTCCAAGTCCTCAAATCTAGATCCCCCACACCCACTATTCACTTCAGTCAGCTGGCAATGGTGTCCTTGAGTTTCAAGTATAACACAGCTACATGATCCAAATTCCAAAAGCATTTACTTGACATCTATTTCTGTCTCATCTTTAGAATAAAGTATCGAGTAGTACAAAACAAACTGGCAGCGCAGGGCACTGACCTGAATCCAGATCTTTAACCATAATCTTCATCTTTGTGATTCTCAATAATTAAAAGCTCCTAGTATTTTTAAGGTTAAAATACACGAGGTCACTCAATTATTACTTTATCAAATAATTAAGAATATTTAAAAAGATATTACTTTATAATGACTTTTAATTCAATAAAAAAGTTTAAGAAAAAGATGGAATAGTTAAACAGTTTGTTCTTGCAGTATGCTATAAGCGCAAGGACAATAAACAATATTTCATAACTTTTGTTTATGCTAGTCACGAAGCATTGAAATGATGACAATGGGAGCATCTTAAAGCATTTGAGCCACTATCAGAAATCCATGGGTTTTAAGAGGTGATTTCAATGATATTTGCATAATAGAAGAAAGGCGAGGAGCCTTGAATCGTCAACCTAGTATCAGTTAAAACTGCGGGACAAAATCATTAATCAGAGAATAATATACATAAATAATATAATGATAAATAATAATCGAATATCATTATAAAAATTAATGATAAAGAACGAATTTACTATGTCTTAGGATTGTTAAAGATATAACAATCCGAGACCATATTTACACCTGAGAAGATGAAACAAACAAGATTAAACTTCTTAAGAAAATAAAATAAATAGAATAAAAAATACTCTTTTCTTGATTGATCTTTTGATTGGAAACGGTTGAGGTATGTCGCTATACAGTTTCCTTAAGATATATTTTTAGCCACTCCTTTGGTGCTTGAGATCGTTGGTTGTCTGTCTCCTAAGATACAACAACTAAATGATTAACTACAGTAACACAACAGTAGAGATCACGAACTATCCTTACCTTCAACTATTATTGGAAAACTAAGAAGAGAGCCTTTTTCAAGAAAGTAAAAGTTCTTGAATTATGAGATATAAAAACTTTTCAACTTGCGAAACTTATTCTAAATTGTGATTAACCTAGCAGGTTAACTAAGTATTTATAAGGGATTTTCAAGATAGATTTACTCCAACTATATATCTTTTAATGTTCAAATTTAAACAGATAATAATATCTTTTAATTTGAAATATTTTAAAGATATAAACTCATTTTACTATTCAAACTTAAATAAATATTATTTTAATTTGAAATATTCAAAAGGATATAATTATCTTTAATATTCAAAGTTAAATATGTAACAAATATCTTTTAATTTGACATATTCAAAGAATAATTATCCTACTAATATTCAAATTAAAAATATCTTTTAATTTGCAATATTCAAAAGGTACATGAATTTAATTTAAATATTAAATCCCTAAATGAAATTTACTCTTTTTTCCAACAAAAACTTCTACAATTTTCTCTTTAACTAACGATTAATTGATATGGGTTTTAATGGTCCAAGGTTTATATGAGAGTGAGGTTCCTTGCTTTAGCGGTTGGATTGTTGTCTTTGTAATAGTGAGTGGTTGCATCTCTAGAAAACTGGATTCGGACCATAGACCAATCTTAACGTCAATTGAACTCAGAGGATATTTGAAGGTGAAGTATCTGTTTCGTTTTGTCGATGCATGGAATGACCATTCGAACTCTGATGAATATACCTTTGTCGAGAATCTAGTAGAGTTCACTAGGAAGGTTTGTGAATGGAATATGATACATTTGGTCATATTGGTTGTCGTAAATGATCGATATTTGCTAGAATTTGGGGTATTGAGAAAACATTACAGACATCAAATTTTGGTTTCCTCGTTGAACTTGAACAAAACCTGAAAGATGAGTTTAATGTCATTTTAGAGCAAGACACATGGATTGAAAAAAAGGGGATCATAACAAAAAATTCTTTTACATATCCACTATGAATAGAAAAAGAAGGAATTCAATGACCATGATCATATTGGATGATGGAAGCTGTTGCAATGATCCTAACTGACATAAGGTTCTGTTGATGTATTTTGAGTATGATATTGGAAATCAAATATGTTGTGTGTATAAGCTGTAATGATGTCTACTAGTTGTTTTTGAGTCTGTTTTAAGTTAAGTGTTTCTTTTACACTAATGTTTGATAGTTGTATTATTTCAAGCTATCTTATATTTTATAATCCTATTTAATGAAAATGTTAGAATGATGAGAGTGCACTGCATGAAGCTTCTCCATCATATTTTAAAAAATTGTTTGTATTCTCTTCTTCTTTTTCATATCTTTTTTTCTTCTTTATTAAAACGTATTTGCAGAAGAACATTACAGTGGTAATCAGAGCTGCTTCTTGAGGGCTGTGAGGTTCTATTGCTATTTTGTGAGTGATTAAACACTTTGTGAGTTTGAGAGTTTTCTAAGATCTAAAATGGCTTCTTCAAATTCTCCTTCAACACATGTTCCTATTTTTACAAGAATTCATTATCATGTTTGGACAGTTAAGATGAAAGTCTATTTGAGATCTCTTGGCTTGTGGAGGGTTGTAGAAATTGATGAAGATCCACCTACACTAAGACCAAATCCCACTCTTGCTCAACTCAAAGCTTATGACGAAGAAATGTTGAAAAAGTATAAAGATTTAACATGCATTCACTCCGGGTTAAACAGGCCACGTTTTCACTAGCATTATGGATCTTGAAACACCCAATAATTTTTTGATAAACACAAGGAAACCTATGAGGGAGGTGAAAGAATGAAGAAAAATAAGTTTTTAACTATGAAAAGAGAGTTTTCTATTATGCAAATGAACGAGTTGATTAAAGATTCTTCAACTAAGCTTATGGATATTGTAAATCAAATTTGACTTTATGGCATGGTTATCAAAACCGGACCGGATCGGCCGGTTCAACCGGTTGAACCGTGAACAGGTGGCCTGTCCGGTCCGATTACCTCACAAAACCGGTCTGGTAATGAACCGGCTGAAAATCGGCAAAACCAGTTTGAACCGCAGGTTCACATTTTTCTTTTAAAAAAAATTAAACCAAACAACGTCGTTTGTTCAACGAGCCAAGTCAAATTCGAGTATTGCTGAGCTCGACTCGAACTCGAAAACTTTAAAAGTAAGCTCAACTGGACTAAAAAACTCACGAACTAAAAATTATCAAGTTCAACTCGAACTCGAAATATAATATTAAAACTTGAAATCGAAAAGGCTCGAACACAAAAAAAAATTAGAAGTTCGATTGAAGCCTAAAATTTGAGCTCAATTGAAGCGAAAAAATAGTTCGCTATGTGCTCACCAAAATGCTCCATGATTTTGAATGTCAAATTACCTCTATTATTTATAGAAGTAAGTTGGGATGCTCTTCTATGTTTCTTAGCCATGTGGGATTGTTTTGTTCTCATATTTTTACTCTTTAAACTTTTGGGTTGCTCTTTTATGTTTCTTAGCCATGTAGGATTGTTTTTTTTAAAAAAAAAATTAAACCAAATGACATCATTTGTTATGATATTTTTAAGCCCCAATTTTTTTTTTTTATTATAGTTATATAATTATATTTATTATTTAATATGTTTTACCTTAAATATTATATTGTAGTTGATTTGAATCATTTTGTTTCACTTGATTTTATGGTTTTTAATTTATATATGTTATGACTTGTGATATTTTTATACCTTTTAATATTGTAAACTTAAAAAAGTGTTACATATATATTAATATTGCTTTGAATATTATGTAAAATTGAAAAAAAAATATTATTTTATATAAAATCCGGTTCAACCGCGATTGAACCCGGTTGAACCAGTGAACCAATACCTTCATCGGTTCAATGTCCGGTCAAGTTTTAAAAACATTGCTTTATGGTAAAGATCTACCCAAATGAAAAGGTTGTTGAAAAAGTCATGATCAATGTTCCTCAAAGATTTGAAGCCAAAATTTCAGCTATTGAGGAATCTTGTGACATTACGAGTCTAACTATTGTCAACCTTGTTAGTAAGTTAGAAGCACAAGAACATAGAATTTTTATGGGAGCTCAATAGACAAGTGAAGGTCATTTTCTTGCTACTCATAAGGGGGTAAAGTTTAATAACTCTAGGGAGATATATGACAGTTCAAACAAGGTGTCGTAACCGGTTTTCGTCCGGGCACGAAATTTTACTTGGTGGGAAAAATAATGTAAATAAATGGTTTTTATTGAAATGTTTTGGGAGTCGCCATCGACCTTTTGGGTCAGGTAGGTCGAATACCTAAAAATCATCTTTTAAAAGAGTTTTTAAGAAAACATCAATTAAAAGATAATCTGGTATGCGTTTAACCAAAAATTCATTCTTTTTAATAATAAAAAGGGATTCGTGGTCGGTTACATTTGGGGAAGGATTAGCACCCCTACAACGCCCAAAATTGGTACCTTTTGATTATAAATTGTCTCTATTATTGGAAATTTAAGAATTAAAAAATATATTTAATTCATAATCCAGTTATTTCAAATTTATTAGAAAAATATATTAATTTATATATTTTTTTACATTTAAATAAGATATTTATTTACTTAGAAATATCAGAAAATGACTTTTAGGTGCTTTAAGACAGTCCATTTCTTAATATTAAAAAATAAATAAATATTAATAAAATATTTCTCTAAAAATAATTAAAATGAATTAATATATAATTTATAAAAATAGAAAATTTTATTTATTTAAGAATAACAGAAAAGGACTTCTAGGCGCTTTAAAACAGCCTATTTCTTAATATTTAAAAATAAATAAATATTATTATTTAATCAAATATATATTTATATGACTAAAATAAAATAAATAATAATCAAAGTACTAATTTAAACATATTGAAACTAAAAGGATAATAATACAAATAAAATTAAATTGCAATTAAATAGTCAAAATAAAAGGAATTAAAAGCTATATGATTAAATTGCAAAATATAAAAATTAATGTACTAATTCGAAATATCATAAAGTAAGAATATTAACATTGTAATTTAACCATAAATATTAATACGAGATAAAAAATAATAATAATAAAATTAAAAGGACTAATTGTGATATTTATCCTAATATATATATATATATA